TTTATCTATGTCGCCACTACCTTTAAAAACCAGTCTTACAGGATGTATGTCAAGAGTTTGTTTTAAGTTAATTCCTTTTTCTTTCTAATTACTTGTGTCCTTTTTTTAAAACAAAAACCCTACCTGAGCAGATCCAAAATTAATATTTTCTGCTGTAATCAAACACTTTGCACGTCTTACACAAGCATAAAAGTTGAGGTAAAGAAAATTAAATTGATGGTTTCCCCCCAGATTATGCAAAAATCAAAGAACAGGGCCATTCATGTGTATATTTTTAATGATGGGTCTCAGAATGACAAAGAAATTGAAGTGTTGGATCAGTCAACAGTTCAAACATTTAAGCACAGTGGTTTGTAAATTCATAGCTGTGGTAACTCCACTGAAAAACTAGTTTATATCAGAAACAAATTTATTGCAGTAACTGATTGGGTTTGCAGTACCACCTGTCTCTCTCTCTGTGTTTTTTTTAATAACAGATCTTAATCTCTACTGTTCACTAATAAAAATATTTTAATAAGAAATAATGTTGTAATCCAAATGCCTATAGGTGCTTGAATCAACTATTCCTGTCTATGTAATTGCTAACACTTTGTTCAACCCTCTTTAAAATTGCTATTAAATCTCATTCTCATTTTCTGTATTAATAGAACAAGAATTAATTTTTAGCGTAGCCTCACAGCAGTAACGAGCATTGTTAACATGTAACAACAGTGCCCAAGGAGAAAGTTTTCAAAGCCAGTCTAACCTTAAGGCTTTGCTGTTGATGTACTTCAGAGTCATGGAGCCAAGAGCTGTTAGAGCTAGTCTGTTTGGAGAGTTCAGCTGAATATTTCTGCTTAATATATGGGAAGAATTATAAACAGTCCAGGTGGTGACCGAGGGAGAAGGGGGAATTTCTGTTTAATAGCTTAAGAACAGAGGGGCAACATTAAAAAAATAACTATACTTCCTGCTCTTTTTGAAGTGTAGCACATTGTGCTTCGGTTCTTCCATACAGATTTTCATAAGAGGTTAATGAGAAAACATTAACAAGGCATGCAATATTGCACATGGGCAGGGGAGCTGAAACATAGTTGTAAACAAACAATAGATGTTGCTTTTTAATTGCTTTTTCAGAAGCCCAGTTCTGCCTTCTTGAAGAAGCATTATCTATCTTATTAAATTCAGAATATTATCCTTATTTTATTTATTACGTATAGCAAAAATAAACATGTCTAAAGCAGTATTGCTTCACTGATTTCAACTGAATGCCTTGGTCACAGTAAACCAGACAAGACCCTATAGATTGAAGGTCCTGGATGAGTCATAGTGCAGCAAAATGACCTCCCTGAGTGCTAGGATTTGAGACTGAGCCTTTAGGTTAGCTGAAGGTAGCGGAAATGGCTTCAGGAGTCTCTGTTTGGGGTCCAAATTAAGAGGCTCAAGAACAGTGTGTTACAGCAGCGATACGGAATAACATCCTTTTCATTGCACTTTTTGAGGTCTTGGTTTCATTACTGTGAAAAGTACAAGGGGGCGTTTTCGATCATGGTTGAATGTTTCGACAGAGAGCGATTCATACACTGTTGCAAAATCTGAAGTTACTGGGGAAGCAGGAGTAGAAATGTTCTTTTGTTGGAGTTCAGTTTCTCTATGAAATGAATGCATAAATTGTCCTTTAGCTGTCTTGATTCACAGCATTTGGTCACACCATTGCCCTTTCCTTTGGTATAAGCTAAAGATGTCCTAAAACAACTGAATATGAACAGACAAGTTCAATAATGTCAAAGCTCAAAAATATTGACAGTCTAAGAAATGTGCTGCATGTTGTATATGTCCATTTTTTGAAATAGGGGGGGAATATAGGGGTAATTTTACTGGTTAAATAGGGTTCAGACCCTTGCAATTTCATAAGCTACATGTTTCTCACTTTAGCGCTGGGTCCGATGTTGCTCTTCAGTAGAACAGTCAGTTTGTGTTGCAGGAAGGGATTTTTTAAGAGGGTGCTTTAACAAGGGACCTCTTATAAGACTTTATTTAATGTTTGTTTTTAATTCTCGAATTAAATAGAGGTGAGATGTTGAATCTGATAGCAGAAGGACAGAAGTTTGTACAAAGCATGAATGAAGGCTTTATAGGTTTTCTTCCACCCCTCCTTCCATATTACTCCACACTCCACTGTATGCTTTGCTCTCGAGGTGTATCTGTCCCTGAGCTGAGAATAAGGCATGCATTTGAAATTCAATACATTCCATTTATCACCTAAAAATATGGCTTTCTCCTGGGCTACTGCATAGGGAAATTCATTCCCCATGCTTATTTAGTCATTGTCTGCTTTGCACCCACTGTCAAAAAGGTGGTTGGTGACAGTGCTGTAAGGGGGAACCGTGGCTTCCAGCACGTTTCTCAGTGGTCACTGATCAGGTGTAAGACGGCACAGATTCTTGGACACCGTGCTGTGCATGTATTTCATATCATTTAGTTCTTGTGATTCACTGTTTGGACCGCAAGAGAAGGTTGAGAGCTATGTTTGAGGCAGAGATTTCCCTCTCTTCTCAGGGTAAGGATTCTGTTTGAAAAGGCTTCCCCAGAGGCTCACAGAAATTTCCAGGAGGCTCAGTCCTCAAAAGGCTGGTCCCTGTATGGCCTGCCAGTCATGTCCAGTGGGTTCAGGACTGCGAAGTGTCCAAACTAATTGTTTTATTTTTACCTTTACTTGTGGACTAGATGTGTTCTCTGATACCTAATCTGTAGATGAGCAACAAGCTTGAACCTTTCCTGCTTAGCGGCCATTTGACTTTCTTTTGTCTTTTTCACATAGTTGCCTCAATTTGTTTTGTCATTTTTTTCAATAGGGAGAAAAAAGAAAAGGAAAAGCTGTCCCTAGATCTGCTCTGTCATCACCAGAGTCCAGTGATGTTTGATCTGTTCCCTAGTCATGCATCCTATTTCTTAAACAACTGTTGCCCTTCTAATATATTAATTCATACCTAAAGCTGGCTTGGTTTTCCTTCAACTGCCTGCTATGGTTCTTGTCTGGTTCACACAGACCCTTGTTCCTTTCTCCCTGCTGGATTTAGTCTTCTTTTGAAAGAATGAATGGATATGAACTTCAACTGATAAATACATGCATTTGAATCTGTGACTGATTTGTGGCTGGATTGTTTTTGATGACTTTTATCTGTAGTTGATTTGCATCTATTTGGCTCAGACTCGCTGGGGGTAACACATAGAATAAATGAATAAATAAATTTGAGG